GGGGGCGGCTGTGCACGCCCTAATCGCACCCCTGCCCTCCGGCTCTTGCAGAGGAGGAGCTGGCCCTGGAGCCCACGCTGATCACGGAGGAGCCAGAGCCGGCGGGGGACGGGTGCTGCCAGGACGCCCCGGCAGCAGGGTGAGCGTGTGGGCAGGGGGGGTGCCGTGCTGGCACCGCGGCCACCGCTGAAGGTCCCTGTCCCCGCAGGGCTGAGAGCAGAGCTGCCTTCATCCCGCTGCTGTGCTACAGCTGCCGCCTCACCTTCAAGGAACTGGTAAGGCTTTCGGGGTGCAGCGGGGCGGCTCTCCTCGGGGATGGGGGTCCCCATCCCCACGGCCCCTCTCTTGCAGGGCCCCCTCGCCACGCTGCCGCCTTACGTGCGCGCCGAGGCCCAGCGCAGGATCCGCAGGTAGGGGGGACCGGGGTCCCCTCCCCACTGCCTTGGCCCCCGACGCCGCGTCCGTCTGTCCACGCCGGCTGTCCCTTTCAGGGCGCAGATGAAGCAGCAGAGCCAGGAGGTCCCGCTGGAGGATGAGGAGCCCAACGAGAGCTGAAGGGGCTGGGAACATCAGGGGACACAGGCCCCCCCGTCCCTCTGGGGCACCGGTGGGGCTTGGGTGACACCCCCCCATAGGATGGTGGGGACCAGAGCCCTTGGGGAGCCCTGGCACCCAGGCAGCTGCTTTTACACCCCATTTTAGTCACAGCTGGGGCACAGGGAGAGCCCCCAGCCCCCATTCGGTGGGAGCCAGGGGTGCTGGTACCCCCCTGGGGCAGCAGATCCCCGGTCCCACCCTGCACCCCCCTCTCCCCGCACATCAGCCGGGGAGGCCTTAGCTTTGTTTTATTAGATAGCCATATAAATAAAACTTTGGAATTAATAATTAAAAAAACCAAACAACCCGAAGTCGTAACAAGTGTCTAGAGTCCAGCTGGGGCTGCCAGCCCCCCCGCCCCAGCTGGGGGAGCCATGACCCAGGCTGCTCCCCCCCCCCTCGCCCTGGGAAGGCACGACGTGGTCTCCACAGGTCGGACGGCTTCAAAGCAACGTAAGAAAAAAACATCCTCCCTTAACAGTGAGTGCTGAGCACCCTGTGTCCCACTGCCTCCCCCGGCAGGATGCGGCCCCAGCTTTGGAGCAGGGCTGGTTAAGGCATTGGCGGTGATGTCCCCAGGAGAGGGGGGCCTGGAGCCCCTTCCCCTTACTCCTTCTCCCGCGTCCACTTGATCATGGTCTCGGGGGAGCGGTAGAGGAAGATGAGCTTGGCGTAGAGCTCCTCCTCCAGCTCCAGCTCGCCCGTCTCCCGCACCAGGAAGATGTCCTGGCACAGCTTCAGGATGCGGTCCACGCAGGGCAGCTCCTCGAACATGATGGAGTGCGAGATCTCGCTGAAGAAACCCCGCCATCCCCACGGCCCCTCTCTTGCAGGGCCCCCTCGCCACGCTGCCGCCTTACGTGCGCGCCGAGGCCCAGCGCAGGATCCGCAGGTAGGGGGGACAGGGGTCCCCTCCCCACTGCCTTGGCCCCCGACGCCGCGTCCGTCTGTCCACGCCGTCTGTCCCTTTCAGGGCGCAGATGAAGCAGCAGAGCCAGGAGGTCCCGCTGGAGGATGAGGAGCCCAACGAGAGCTGAAGGGGCTGGGAACATCAGGGGACACAGGCCCCCCCGTCCCTCTGGGGCACCGGTGGGGCTTGGGTGACACCCCCCCATAGGATGGTGGGGACCAGAGCCCTTGGGGAGCCCTGGCACCCAGGCAGCTGCTTTTACACCCCATTTTAGTCACAGCTGGGGCACAGGGAGAGCCCCCAGCCCCCATTCGGTGGGAGCCAGGGGTGCTGGTACCCCCCTGGGGCAGCAGATCCCCGGTCCCACCCTGCACCCCCCTCTCCCCGCACATCAGCCGGGGAGGCCTTAGCTTTGTTTTATTAGATAGCCATATAAATAAAACTTTGGAATTAATAATTAAAAAAACCAAACAACCCGAAGTCGTAACAAGTGTCTAGAGTCCAGCTGGGGCTGCCAGCCCCCCCGCCCCAGCTGGGGGAGCCATGACCCAGGGCCCCCCTGTCCTTGGGCGGGGGGGGGGTATTGCTTTTGAGTTCAACCTGGTTCTGGAGCAGGGCTGGGGAGAGTGGGGAGGGGGCGCAGGCTGGCTCCTGCCCCCCCCCCCCCCCCCCCCCCTCGCCCTGGGAAGGCACGACGTGGTCTCCACAGGTCGGACGGCTTCAAAGCAACGTAAGAAAAAAACATCCTCCCTTAACAGTGAGTGCTGAGCACCCTGTGTCCCACTGCCTCCCCCGGCAGGATGCGGCCCCAGCTTTGGAGCAGGGCTGGTTAAGGCATTGGCGGTGATGTCCCCAGGAGAGGGGGGCCTGGAGCCCCTTCCCCTTACTCCTTCTCCCGCGTCCACTTGATCATGGTCTCGGGGGAGCGGTAGAGGAAGATGAGCTTGGCGTAGAGCTCCTCCTCCAGCTCCAGCTCGCCCGTCTCCCGCACCAGGAAGATGTCCTGGCACAGCTTCAGGATGCGGTCCACGCAGGGCAGCTCCTCGAACATGATGGAGTGCGAGATCTCGCTGAAGAAACCCCGCACGAACTTCCCGATCACCAGCACGATGGAGACGTACAGCCCCATAATCCTGCAAGGGGTGAGGGGGGGGAACATCCTCTATCCCACCCCAGCTTCGCACCCTTTTCGGGGTGCAGCCGGGTGCTCGGTGCCCCCCACCGCCCCACGCACCCCCTCTACGTACCCGTAGCCAGCCAAGAAGCCCAGGCTGGGGGGGCTGACTTTATCATTAAAGATGACCATGGGGAGGATGTTGCCGTCGCGGGGGGGGGCCTCCTTCAGCCGCACCACCCACCACTCCAAGAAGCTGTCACCCCCTCGGCCGGCGCTGGCGCGCTCCCGTTTCAGCTGCACCTCCACGTCCAGGTAGCTGTCCTCCCCGTCTGCCGGGGGGGTGGCACCGTCAGGGCACAGCACAG